CCCCAAAACCCCAAAACCCCAAAACCCCAAAACCCCACCACCTGTTCAGGCATTGAAACTTAATCATAAAGATTTATTGACATAGTCTTTGGAAACTATATTATTCGTACTCCATTCAAGTTCAGTAATTGCTCAAAATATCCAAGATTGTCTTTTCAGAGAACATCTCTGGTTCCTTGGGCGAAGAAGAGATTTTACCAGTCTTATTCGTACTCTGAGATTTAGAAGCAGTTGATGTCTGCCTTACCTTCATTGAAGATTTACTTCCTTTAATAGAGATGTTCTTCTTGTCTGACTCAGACCCCTCACAACTTGAGGGGTTAAGCTCTTCGATAATGATCCTAACAGTCTTGGTTGGAATTATAGCTGTAACTGTGTTCTTCAGCTTTTCTACTTTGCAAGGCACTGATGTTTCTATCTGATTTCCTTGAATGACGATCTCTCCTTTGCTAAGAACAACAAGGCTGCATCCTTTCTTGACATTAAGACTACTGCATTCGGCTGGTTTAGATTAACAACAACAACTTACAGAGATCAGCTTGACTTTTCTTCTCTTTGCCATCTTGATTTCCTTCATTCTTTTGCCCATCACAGTTGGAATTTAAGATAGAGAAGGACTCAGTGCCGTTTCTTGCCACCTAAACTCACTTATGATAAAAATTCACTCAAACTAAACCCCTCAAATTTTCACCAAAAATGCTCTAAAAGTCCCTAAAATGCACAGTAAACCTCTCATTCCCGGCTCTACCTTCTCTATCTTGAACAGCTTGACACTATAATACTCCGAACTGCCTTCCTTCAGCAGTGGTTTCTCATTACTCAAGCTATCTGAATTGCAATCCTCAAGTTGCTTCCTCTTCTCCTTCTTTTGTCTCTTATTTTCTTCCTCATTCACTTCCTTGTTCAGCCTATACTCAAGCTAAGCCTAAAATTAAAAATCTCAAAACTAGGGTTTCCAGTAGCCTTAGGAGGATTTTAAACCATCTGAGTCCATTTGCAGACCCGCGCACGTAGCTTTTGAGGGTCTGGGCTTTTTGGAAACCGAATTTTGGAAGTGAATGAATGGGATAAGTGAGTTTTTCGTGAAAAAATTACCTTGGGATTTAGTTGAGAGCTTCTAGTGACTCTTGGGGTGGCGAGGGAGTTATCCTGATAGACTCCGATGAAGTTCTGGACTTCGGCAGACTCAGCAGCCTGGTTTATCTGGGACTTATCAAACTTGTAAACTCTAGAGGTATCTCACATATCTCTCATGATATACTGCATAGGGTTATTAGTACCAAATTCTTTCTTGATCCTATCAAAATACTTCTGTAAGTGAGACCTTATATCTGCACGCTAGATCTCGTAGGAATCTATACAGGGTAAATTTAGAGCAATTACCATCTCTTCCAGCTTGTCCCAGTCTTTACCATATGTTTTGAGGCCTATAACTCAGGAAAGTGGCTTACACTGAACGAAAGTCTCATGCTCTTCATTTGACCATCTGCCAATGACTTTCTTCTTCCTTTTTCACCCGGAGAGGTATTGCATACTCTCAAATTCAAAATTAGGATCCACGGTTAGCAAATTCCAAGCCTCATTTTAAAGAGAAAAAGTAGAAAATTTAAGATCTAATAGACCAAATCCAAGTGAAGTAAGTGCAAATTTAGCAAAATTTAAAGGAATTTGACAAGCTCGACTAATATTGAAATGGAAAGAATGTTTACCGGTAAATTAACCTCCTTCTCTTCCTCTTTATCAACGTAATGATTATGTTTGTTTGCTTTTTCATCCATTTCCTATAAAGTCGGTGAATTCACTAATCAATGAGATTACTATCATAAGTCAAAATATGAAAGGAAACTTCGGCCCTAGCCTATGGAAGATATCTGCAAGTGCCAAATTGGTTACTTAAAGGAGTGTGATAGACATCAGCCTATTATGGAATCCATAAGATTTTAATACTACATTAATTTGTCACCTAGTATTGCAACGTGGTAAAAATCAATCAAAAGTTAATCTCAAGTCTAAACTGAAAGTCTACTTATGCAATACCTTAAAAATAATCATGAATTTGAGCCCAAGGTGTGATAGTTCAGGCCTCAAACCTTGCAAGCTTAAAATCAGCCAGCACATGGCACAACAAATTCTAAATTTTATTAAGTCTACTCAGAAACTGTCTAGTTCTAACCCATGGAATAAATATGCCCGACTTATATGATCAGGGATCTTCTCTAAAGAGTCAGATTCAATCTTGACTGCTAAGAATGAAGAATAAGTCTCTTCTCAGAGAAATGCCATTAAAATTTAAGCTCAAAAGCATACCATAAGAAGCCTGACTAACAAAGCATTAAAAATTGATTTAGGGGGTCTCCAGAGGTCTGATTTAGCTTAAAAATCATTAAGAATCTCTCTCTTAAAACCTACAACCACCATCAGAGATTATATAAAACTTTGCAGGTATTCTTCCTTGATGGTGGACTGAGTATTTCCCAAACTCGTAGAGTACAGCTAAGGTGCTGCTAACCTGCCTGCAATTTTTATTCTGTAGAGCCAATATAACACCTCCTACCCATGCATCAAAGAGTCGTTTGAGATTCTTCAAAGTTTGCCTTAAACTATGATATGATAGAAATTTTTTAATTACTTCATTTTTATATGAAGTCCTCAGCTAATCCTAAAACTTGACTGCTTTTAATAGACTGCCAAGAAGGGATTGAAAGTACTAAAATAACTAGCTCAATAAAATTTCGATCAATTTGGACATCGCCATCCCATTTTCAGGATTTCACAAAAATTACGATACTCTAAGTGATTTTTACAAAAAACCTGCGATGCTCTCTTCTGTGAGACTAGCCTCTGAAAAGAGTAATAACGGTAGAGCCTCACTACAGAGCACCAGCCTTGAGACCTTGCTCAAGGCTGAAATTTGAATCTATTTCTAACAATAAGATAATTTAGTGAATTAACCAACATTACGGGAGTCTTGGAGTTGACAAATTAAGAGTATCTGGCTACACTTCCAAAACAGACGAATAACAGCTAAAAGCATTATAATTGCTCGATTGGTGCTTTAGGAAGGTAAAAGAAAGGAGGTAGGCAACCTTAAAATTGCATAGATTTGGGATATCTAAAAGTACACCCTCTTTAAGAGGTTAAACTCTAACAAGTTTATCCAAAAATATCTACAATAGTGAGCTCTAAACCTGGTGATACCAATTACACACAAAAAGATATAGGAAGAAGACTCTAAAGCAATGCTAACCTCGATGTAGGGACATTACAACTACTTCACTCAGCATAGAGGGTTCGAAAGATCCTCTAAGTTGGATCGAAAGTGCTTTCTAAAATAACATTTTGGAGTTCAGAGGTCGAGCCCGGACTCAAATGCAAGAAATCGTTGTATAAACTTTGAGGAATTAACTCAAAAATAGGCATTATATTTATAGTAAAATCCACTGTTAACTTTCTCATAACTCTCTAAAATCCATAAGAATTTAGATAATATATAATCTTTTAAAGCAGAAAATTTGCTAATTTATTAAAATTTACATGATTTAATTGTTGATTATTCAGAAAAATAGTAAACCTGGCTTCTATCCAGCAAGATATACTCTCTAAAACGACCTAATGAGAGAAATATTGCACCATCCTGACCTTCCTGTCTCATTTTTACCCATCTCCTACCCCAAAGCACACTCGCACCATCACAGCCCTTTAAACCCTCATAAATTCCAAAACCTTCGCTAGCTATCTCCCTTCATGCCCATTCAACTTCGCTATATCCGCTTCCTACCTGATATTTCATTGTCTTTCAACTTATTATATATTTTACGGGGTTTTGGGGTTTTGGGGTTTTGGGGTTTGGGG